TAAGTAATCTATACACCCAACATGGAGTGTATAGACCCCAAGATCAAAAGTTGTATACTCCTCTGGCTGAGCCAGCCAGGCACCCTATTTTTTAACTTTCTGAGTAACCTCCATACTGTTTTACACACCAGCTGCACCAGTTTGCATTCCCACCAATAGTCCACAAAGGTTCCTCTTAATCCACACCCTGGACAACACTTGTTATTTCTTGTCTTTTTTATTTTAGCTGTACTGACAGGTATGAGGTGATATCTCATTAGAGTTTTGATCTGCATTTCCCTGATGATAAGTGATGTTGATGAAGCATCTTTTCTCCTATGTCTGCTGGCCATCTGTATGTCTTTGGAGAAATGTCTGTACATGTCTTCTGCCCATTATTTCTTTTTTTGTTTGTTTTTTAAAGATTTTTTATTCATTTATTTGACAGACAGAGATCACAGGTAGGCAGAGAGGCAGGCAGAGAGAGGAAGGGACGCAAGCTCCCTGCCGAGCAGAGAGCCCAACGCAGGGCTGGATCCCAGGACCCCGGGATCATGACCTGAGCCAAAGGCAGAGGTTTTAACCCACTGAGCCACCCAGGCGCCCCGCTTTTCTCTTTTTTTTTTGTAAGCTCTATGCCAAGCTGGGGTTTGAACTCATGACACCTGAAATCAAAAGTCACATGCTCTACCAATTGAGCCAGCCAGGTACCCCTCCTCCTCCCCATTTTTGAATCGGATTACTTGTTTTTTGGGTGTTGAGTTGTATCAGTTCTTTTATGTATTTTTTGGATACTCTTTATCAGATATGTCATTTGCAAATATCTTCTCCCATTCAGTAGGTTGCCATTTAGTTTTGTTGTTTGTTTCCTTCGCTGTGCAGAGGCTTTTTATTTTGATGATGTCTAAACTCCTCTATTTTCTTCTATCTCTGGTTATCATCTCCAGTGAGAAACTTCCCAATCTTATTCTTCTTCCAGGCACAATTAACTGCTTTTATGTGTGTGTGTAATGCTTCTGTAAGGTTTACTTATATTCAATTAACACTTATCTCATCTCACTGTTCTTAACTGTTTACTGATCTATCTCATCCTACTACTAGGTGAGTTCCTTAAAGGCAGAGGCTCTCTTATTAATCTTTGAAACTGATGTACCTAACACAACGACTCCGATAGGCATTCAAGAAATATTAGAGTGAATACAGGAATCAGGTAAACAATGAAAAATATGGTTTTAATACAAGAATTTTGACAGTAAATAAAAAGATTTTATGTACACTTATGTTTTTTTCAAAGTATGGTATATTACCAACTGTGTAAAAACTGCCAAGTATGCTTTTAAAATGCATACCTCTGGCCCCTCATCAAACCTACAATTTTTCATAAAGTTTTTTTTTTTTTTGCAAACCAAAGGTTGAAAGTTGCTAGACTAAATAATGAATTAACACAATTACAAGATATAATTTAAGAAAATGACTAGTACAATGGTCAAACATTATACTTCAAAGTCCTTAAGAGTAATGAAGTCATTTAATTGAACCTACTATTGAATCAGAGTCAATTATTTGTAAGCCAAGACTACTGGCAGGTTGTATTCAACATTTCTGAGAATGTGAAGAGGAGAATCTGAAGGAAGGATGCCTGGGTGGCTCAGTTGGTTGAGTATCTGCTTTCAGCTCAGGTCATTATCTCAGAGTACTGGGACTGAGTCCAGCATCAGCCTCCCTACTCAGCGGGGAGCCTACTTCTCCCTCTGTCTTCCACTCCCCCTGTTTGTCCTCTCTCTGACAAATACATAAAAATAAATAAAATCTTTAAAAAAAGAGAGAGAGAGAGAATCTAAGAGATAAAATACAACTGTATGGAGATTATTTCTAATAGGATATTCTCCTTAACCTAGACTGGAAGTGAAAAAGGGCAACAATTTAAAATATAAACAATTTAATCTACATCAAATTATGCCTAAACCTGAGAAGCAATAATAAACAACAAAATATAAACTACTTGGACTATTTAGGATATATCTGCTCTCAATTATCTCCATTACAAGAGCACCTGGGTGGTTCAGTTATTAAGCGTCTGCCTTCCGCTCAGTGAGCCCCATACCGCATCAGGCTCCCTGCTCAACAGGAAGCCTGCTTCTCTCCCTCTCCCACTCCCCCTGCTTGTGTTCCCTCGCTCGTTGTGTCTCTATCAAATAAAGAAATAATTAATTTTTTAAAAATCTCCATTATATATTCCACTATAGTAAGATCCACCTTTAAATTACATTTCTAAGCCTTGTGTTCTCCTTAATATCCCCCCCCCAGAAAAACACAATTTAACATACACATATTTCCTTTCAATAATTACGCAACTGAAACTGTGAACTAATATTTGCAGAGAAAATGAGTCAAAACAAAACAACCCCTGCCTTTTTGTCATTCTTTCGTTCAAATAGAAGAAAAAGCTCTTCTAAGTTTTCCTGAATCTCAATATACGGTTTTCCTTCAATACTTAAGTACAGTTACAAGATAAAAATTGAATTTTTTTTACTGTCAACAAGATCTGACATATTGATTAGATCTTAAAATCTCTTTCAAAATAAAAACTGAGCATACTATGTGACATATAAACAGACTCAGAACAGCAGAATTATAAAAGGTACCTTAGATATCCTTTAAGTCAATATTTACATTATAGATGATAAGGGCCTGAAAGGTTGAGTGGTTACCTAAGGTCAGCCTTACTAACAGAATTGGAATTAAAAATCTAAATTTACTAAATGCAAAGTAATATCCTGAACTGCATCCTGGAATAGGAAAAAGGACATCAGGGGAAAAGTCTGGATAAATCTGAATAAAGTCAATAATTTAGTTAATAGTTTTGTATCAATATTAACTTCTTAGCTTTGACAAATATATCCATTGTTATTTGAAACATTAATATTAGAGGAAGCTGGGTGAAAGGTACATGAGAACTCTCTATACTGGCTGTAGTTTTTCTGTAAATCTAAAATTTTAAAAATAAAAACAAAAGGCTTACTTTAAAAACTCTAAATCTAAAACTAATTTCTTGACTAAGGTCAGGGCTATGAGATAAAGTCCCATACGGGATCCCACACTGGGTGTGGAGCCTGCTTAAGACTCTCCCTCCCTCTCCGTTTCCCATCCCCTCACGTACTTGAGCGCTCATGCGCTCACACACACACTCTCTCTCTCTCAAAAATAAAAAAAAAGAGAGAGAGAGACTGTCAATTCATTCCTGATATCAATATCCCAGGAACTCCCAGGCTGACTCTCCGACCTTTCTTTTGAGTCTATGAGCAATTTGGTAGCCTTACAATAAGTTTCTCTTCTCCTTAAGACACACACAGTCGCTCTTCCGCAGGCAAACAAAGACCATAATGGATACAGCACTCTTGACTCATTTAAGATCTCTAAAGCACCTCGAAAGTATAACGCAATCCTCCTGCTCAAAAATTTTAAATGACCCAAAACTTCCCACTACTACAATCTTCTCTAGGGGGACTTTTCAGGGTTCTCCCCATCTGGGTCCAACAGACATTTCTTAACTTATTTTTCACCAATGGCATCATGTATACTAGTGCTATTTTCTCCATATGGAATGCTATCCTACCATCTCTGCCTATAAATCTTATCTACCTTTCCAAGTCTACTTCAATTATTCCCTTGTGTGTAAATTCTTATCAACTCCACTAACACACCAAGATACTGTTAAAAAAAAAAAAAATCCCCACACCACTTTGCAGCTATTTTATTACACATTCTGCATTCACTTATTTCTGTATGGATTATATTCTTCCACTGACCCCACTAACTCTTCCAAAAGGCAAAAGAAGGAGTATAAATATGTCAAGTATGTGCTGTCACAATGTAATCAAGAATAGTATCTCACAGGGTGCCTGGGTGGCTCAGCTGGTTAAGCATCTGCCTTCAGCTTGGGTCATGATCCCAATCAGGCCCCACATCGGGCTCCCTGCTCAGTGGGGAGCCTGCTTCTCCCTCTGCCTGCCAGTCCCTCTACTTGTGCTCTCTGCCGAATAAATAAAGTCTCACCAAAAAAAAAAAAAAAAAAAAAAAAAAAAAAAAAAAGAATAGAATCACCAGGGGCACCTGGCTGGGTCAGTCAGAGGATATGACCCTTGGTCTCAGGGCTCTAAGTTGAGCCCCAAGTTGGGGTAGAGACTACTTAAATAAAACTTTAAAAAGAAGAAGAAGAAGAAGACTATCACAATATTGGCTATAATATTATGAAAAAACTTAAACCAAAATTTTTTTAAGACTTGGTATATGCAAATTTGGGATCAACTTCTGCTTCTGAGCAGTATGACAGAGTAACTGGGACAGGATTTATTTTCCTGTCTTAAGACCTGAAGAACTAGAAAAATATAAAATTCCTTTTCAGGTAACACATGACCACAATCTCTGAGAGAAGTGAAACAAGGTAGGTTCTATGGTTACTGGCTTTCTACCTAGAAACACTCCAGAATGTAGCACAGACAAAGGGATTCCAAGTAAAGCATAGCACTCTCTAATCTGAGACAACAAAGATAAGAGTATAGGAGGGCCAAGCCAACTGAAATAGAGAAAGTAGACTTTCTAAAGAAAGAATTCCAGAACTGTTTAGGGAATGCCTTCCAATATTTTGCCAAATTAAGTTCCACATACATAGCGTAAAACTCCGATAAGGCCAGGCAAAGAACAACTACTAGGGAGCTAAACTCCCAGAAGTCACACAGGCCGGAAGATGTCTGAGTTCTAACTCAACCACAATGGAGAGTCCTTGTTGAAGACTTATGGCACTCAGTAGAGAACCCCAAAAGGATCATAAGCTAAATTAGCCATAGTATAAGGACTATTCTAAATTTACCTTAATGAAGCTTAAAAACATCCCTGAAAGGATTAAGCTGATCCACAAGTAACTGCCCATCAGAAGAAAGTTTAACATTCTTTAAAGACAAAAAAATTCAGCACACACACAAAAAAAGTGACAACATGCTACACTCAAAGGTATGCAAAAACTGCTGGCTTCAGCAGCATATATACTAAAATTACAATGACACAGAGAAGATTAGCATGGCTCCTGTGCAAGGATGACATGCAAATTCATGAAGGCTTCCATTACCAAAAAAAAAAAAAAAAAAAAAAAAAAAAAAAATCCAGGGGTGCCTGGATGGCCCAATCAGTGGAGCATGCAATTCCTGATCTCAAGAGTTGTAAGTTTAAGTCCCATATTGGGTGTAAAGATTACTTAAAAATAAAATCTTTTAAAAAATGCAAATTAAAAAAAAAAAAGAGACATACCAAAAATCCCAGGAAATGTTATCTATAACCAGCAGAAAAACTGATCAACAAAAACAGACCTCAGAATGAAAGGGAAATTAGCAGAAAAAGGCATCAGTTATTCTAAATATCTATAAGCATTTAAAAAAGAATATATACATAATGAGGAGAGAAAAGGAAAAAAACCAAAACAGAACAAAATGGAACTTCAAAAGATGAAAAACAATTCAGAAATTTAAAAATGTACTAGATGGGACTAACAGTATATGTGACGCTGAAGAAAACACATAAATTTTTAAAAGATCCATTAATATGGAGACATGAAAATAAGAACTAACCATATAATGTACAGACAAAAAAAGAAAAAATATATATAGGATCACAGTGACTGTGGAGCAATATTAAGTGGTCTAACATACATGCAATTGGAGTACCACATGAGAGGGTGAGCTAAAAAAAATTATGAGAATAATGACCAAAAATTTAATTTTGATGGAAACTGTAATCCCAGATTCAAGAAACTCAATAAACACTTCCACGATAACTTCAAATGAAGATGAAGGTACAGCACAGTAAACTTACTGAAAAATCAATAAGTCTTAAGACTAGTCAGAGAAAAGAAGACATATTTCCCAGAGAATCAAAAATGACTGCTGAATTCTCATCTGAAATTGTGCAAGTCAAAAACATAATGGCATGATATCTCTCATGTACTTAAAAAAAAGATCAATCCAGACTACCAGATACAGTAAAAATTTACTTTAAAATTGAAGGTGATTCTACACACCTATCAGAATGGCTAAAATTCTTTTTTAAAAAGCAATTATAACACCAAATGCCATGAAATAAGCTAGTCACAAAAGGCCAAATACTGTATGATTCCTTCCAAATATTATATAATTCCAAGGGGTTGGGGAGAGGGGGAAATGAGGAATAATTTTTTAATTGATACAAAATTTTAACTGGGGAAAGATAAGAAGTTTTGGAAATGGCTGGTAGAGAAAGTGGCACAACAATGTGAATGCACTTAATACCAAAGAACTTACACCTTTTTTTTTCTTAAGAGTTTATTTAGGGGCACCTGTGTGGCTCAGATGGTTAAGCATCTGCCGTCAGCTCATGGTCCCAGGGTCCTGGGATCGAGTCCCATGTCGGACTCCCTGCTCTACAGAGAGCCTGCTCCTCCCTCTCCCTCTGCCTGCTGCTCCCCCTGCTTGTGCGTACTCTCTCTGTCAGTCAAATAAATCAATAAAATCTCAAAAAATATATTTTATTTATTTGATGAAGAGAAAGAGAGAGAGAGGAGGAGAACACAAGCAGGGGAAGTGGGGCAGGAAAAAGCAGGTTCCCCGCTGGGCAGGGAGCCCCACTTGGGGCTCAAATCCTAGGACCCTGGGATCATGACCTGAGCCAAAGGCAGACACTTCACAACTGAGCCACCCAGGTGCCCCACACAGAACTATACACTTAAAAATGGCTAAAATAAATTTTATGCTACATGTATTTCCCACAATTGAAAAAAATGCTACTGAAGATATGAAGAAACTGGATTACTCACATATTGTTAGTAGAAATGTAAAGATATTTATTTATTTGCAGGAGAGAGAGAGAGAAAGAGAGCACAAATGCTAGGCAGAGGAAGAGGCAGAGAGACAGAGCCTCAAGCAGACTACATGCCCAGCATAGACCCTGAAGCAGGGCTTGATCCCACAATCCCGAGATCATGACTGGAGCTGAAACCAAGAGTCCAAGCCTCAACTGAATGAGCCACCCAAGCTCCCCTCATTAGTAAAAATGTAAACTATTACCGACACTTTAGAAAAGGATGGCAGGTTCTTACAAAACTAACATGTGTGGTATAGGACCCAACAACTGAACTCTTGGATATTTATCCCAGATAAGCAAAACATATTCACACAAAACCTATAACATTTGTATGCTTGTACTTCATTTGAAGTAAAAAAAAACTGGGAAACACCCAAACATCTTTCAGTAGGTAAATGGTTAAACAAAACATGGTACATACATACTATAAACTACTACTTTGCAATGAGAACAAACCATTGGTGCATTTAACAACTTAGATGAATCTCAAGCAAATCATCCTAAGTGAGAAAAAGCTTATTTCAAAAAGTATAAACTGTGTAATTCCACACAATCTCTAAATGTCAAAACTGTAGAGATGAAGAACACAAGTGATTTCAGAAGTTGGGGTGGGTAAGGGAGAGAGGTAGCTGTGACAATAATGGCAGCACAAGTGATCCTTGTGATGGAACTATTTTGTATTAATCGTGACAGCTGTGATAGGAATCTACACATGTGATAAAACTGCACAGAACTAAATATATATACATAGAGGAGCGCCTTCAGCTGGGGTTGAGTGACTGCCTTCAGCTTGGGTCATGATCCCCAGGTCCTGGGACTGACCTCCACACTGGGCTCTCTGCTCAGTGGGGAGCCTGCTTCTGTCTCTCCCGCTCCCCCTGCTTATGCTCTATCAAACGAATAAAATCTTCAAAAAACAAACTCACACATAAAGGAGTTAGGCAAAACTGGTAAAATTTGAATAAGGTCAAGTGAACTGTATCAATGTCAATTTCCTGCTTGGGCTATTACACTATAGTTACCCAAGATGTTACCACTGGGGGAACCTGGTGACGAGTCCATAAGATCTCTCTGTATTATTTCTCATAATTGCATATGAATCTACAATTCTATCAAACAAAGGGTTTCTTTCAATTAAGGTTAAATAATTATCAAGCAAAAACTGTGAGAATTCATTAAAAGCAGATGTGAACTATAAGAAATGTTAAAGTAGGGTGCCTGGGTGACTCAGTTGGTTAAGCGCCTGCCTTCAGCTCAGGTCATAATCCCGGGGTTCTGGGATAGAGCCCTGCATCTGGCTCCCTGCTGAGTGGAGAGCCTGGTTCTCTCTCTTCCCACCCCTGCTTGTGCTCTCCCTCTTGCTATCACTCTTTCTCAAATAAATAAACAAAATCTTTAAGGAAAAAAAAAAAAAGAAGAAAAATACGAAAGTACATACCCAAAATTGAAAGCAGGGGCTCAAAAGAGATACTTGTATACCACTATTCATAGCAGCAACACTCACAAGAGCCGAAAGATAGAAACAACCCAAAATCTATCAATAGATGAATAAACAGGGGTACCTGGATAGCTCGGTTGGGCATCCGACTCTTGATTTCAGCTCAAGTCATGATCTCGGGGTCATGGGACTGAGCCCCACTTGGGCTATGCACTCAGTGCCGAGTCTGCTTGAGATTCTCTCTCCTTACCTCTCTACCCCCACCATCTCTCTCTCTCTCTCGAATAAATCTTTAAAAACATAGATGAACAAACAAATGAACATGTGAGATAAACACACACACACACACACACACACACACACACACACACAAAATGGAGTTTTCAACCTTTTAAAAAGGAATAAAATTCTAAGATACACAATTACACAAATGAGCCATGAAAACATTATGCTAAGTGCAATAAGCCAGACCCTGAAGGACAAATACTGTGTGACTCCACTTATATTAGCTACCTAGAAAATGTAAATTCATAAAGACAGAAAGAACAGAGGTTACCAGGCCCAGGGAAGTTGGGGTTGGGATGGAAGCTGTGCTTTAATGAATACATAGATTCTGTTTTGGAGGATTAAAAAAAAAAAGTTCAAGAAATGAATAAGGGCTGGGGCGCCTGGGTGGCTCAGTGGGTTAAACCTCTGCATTCATTCAGCTCAGGTCGTGATCTCAGGGTCCTGGGATGGAGCCCCGCATCAGGCTCTCTGCTCAGCAGGGAGCCTGCTTCCCCTTCTCTCTCTGCCTGCCTCTCTGCCTCCTTGTGATCTCTCTCTCTGTGTCAAATAAATAAATAAAATCTTTAAAAAAAAAAAAGAAATGAATAAGGGCAATGGTTACACAACACTGTGAGTACATTTAATGCCACTGAACTATACACTTTAAAATGGTTCATTTTATGTTATGCATATTTTAACACAACTGTTTAAAGAATGATGAAATGTTACCAAAGATGAAAAGGGATTATTTCATAATGAGAAAAGACAGTTCAAGAATACATAATGAGGAGTGCCTGGGTGGCTCAGTGGGTTAAAGCCTCTGCCTTCGGCTCAGGTTGTGGTCCCAGGGTCCTGGGATGGAGCCCTGCGTTGGGCTCTTTGCTCAGTGGGGAGCCTGCTTCCTGCTCTCTCTCTGCCTGCCTCTCTGCCTACTTGTGATCTCTGTCAAATAAATAAATAAAATCTTAAAAAAAAAAAAAAAGAATATATAATGATCCTGAGCACCTGGGTGGCTCAGTTGGTTAAGCGACTGCCTTCAACTCAAATCATGATCCCTGGGTCCTGGGATGGAGTCCCACATCAGGGGTGAGGGGGTGTCCCTGCTCAGCATTGAGTCTTCTTCTCCCTCTTCCTCTATCCCTCCCCCCGCCCCACTCATGCCCTCTCCCTCTCACTCAAATAAAATCCTTAAAAAAAAATTTAAAAAAAAATAAAAATATACAATTCTAAATGTGTATGTACCTAATAAAATTTCAAAATACATCAAGAAAAACTGAAAAGAAAAAGACAAATGAATAATTATAGTTGATATTTCAACATTACTCTATAGTTGGGCAAACAGGAAATCAGTAGGTACACAGAAACTTACACTCAAATAACTTGACCTAATTCACATTTATAAAGCACTCCATCCGACAAAGAATACACATTCTTTTCAAGTGCTTACGGAACATTAACCTAACTACACCATACACTGGGCCATAAAACAAGTCTCAACAAATAGAAAGAACTACAATGGACTCTCTGACAACACA